TTTTTTTTTTTAATACATTTACCTCTGATCTCTTTATAAGAAGAATACTAGTTTGGTCTGTATAAACTATCATCCTATTGTTTGGCCATCCTATAACTTTATTCTAAGTTCTAATGTTCATTTTAGATGACAAACTCTATACAATGCTTAGTAAGAAGCTTTCTGATGTTTATGACTCCTACTTTGTACATGGAATAGGAAAAAAACCTCCAAAATCCCCAATTGAGGAACTTCACTATCTGTAATTTCTAGGAACACTTCAAAAATATAACCTGAAAGAACCAAAGGAATCACAATCAGCAGACTCCAGACGTCACAACGTGGGAGACCTTGGAGCAGGGTTTTAGCTAAGAGAATACTAAGTTTTGCTCTAGTTCTAAAGGAAGTATTTTTTTTTTGAAGAAGGAATGATCTCACGTTGGTCCACAAGAAGGACCTCTATGTCCACTGTGTGTCCTAGATGCACTAGAACAGGAAAGGTTAAGGTAACAGCACAAATAAGGCATTCAGTTTTTAAATAGCCCATCTTTCTTGACCCTAATCTCCACCTCACTCCCTCATGGTATGACAGTGATTGGCTGATACAGTTTTTAAATTCTGGGACATTAGCAATAAGGCTGAATCTCACTCAATTCTGGCTGCAGCTCCAGAAATGCTGGATTTCAGGAGATGACACATCCAGTTCAGTGCTCACTGAGAGCTTCTTTGGCACCAGTAAGACATATTCCCTACAAACTTTGAAGGGATGTTTCCAGAAAGGAAGACAAAGTGAGAGCACCCACTGTCACCGAGTTGAATCTGACTCATAGTGACCCCCACTGGGTTTCCAAGGTGGTAAATCTTTACTGAAGTAGATTGCCCAGTCTTCCTTCCATGGATTGGTTGTTGTGTTTGGACCATTAACCTTCTGGTTAGCAGTCAAATGCTGAATAAGATATATTAAATTTATCCATTTTAGAGATTCTCCATGTACTTGGTAGAGTCCCTGGGTGGTGGCAGATGGTTAAGGGCCTTGCTGCTAACCAAAAGGTTGGCGGCTTGAGTTCACCCACAGGTACCTTGACAGAAAGGAAGGCCTAGCAGAGCACTTTTGGAAAACCAGCATTGAAAACCCTATGGAGCACCGTTCTACTCTGACCCACAGGAGGCTCACTATGAGTCAGAATCTACTCAATGCCAAACGTTGTTTGTTTGCTTCCTATGGATTTGGGATGTTGTTTTTAAAACAGGAAAACAGCGTATGTGGGTATATTTATAATTTTAGCATTTAACTTTATACAGAGCAATGATAATACAGTACATAATTACATGTATTCTCTCTTCACAGAGAGGTATTTGGAAAGATGTTCTTCAAAATATCAATGATGATCCCTTGCTAGTGGGTGTGGGGAAATTTATGCTTTCTTCTATAATTTTATGAACTGTTAAAACTTACTACACTAGTGGTACATTATTTCGGTAAAAAAAAAAAAAAACCCTGAAAACAAAATATAAAAATTAAAGGTCACTTAAAGGTCACTTCCTCTGTATTTTCAGTGTTGCTGATGCTCTTGTAATTGCTGGGTGAGTACGTAGCTGAAAAAACTGGGTGGGTAGTGCTTTCATCTTGAAAAGTTTAAGATGTTTGAACTGTTTGTGTGCTTTGACAAGGATGGCCATCTTCTCCAAGGACCCAATTGGACATCGGGGGAGGCGAGAAATGGAATTCTCAGTCTCTAGACAGTTTCCTGATACTTCAGGAGCATGTATAAAACACCTCAAGAATTTACAGTTCCAAATACAAACCTCCACAATGATTTGTCTGTACTTTGGCTGGTCAATATTTCCCAGTATGTCTTCAACAAGAAGAGAGAAATTCATCTCATACATGGTCATATCTGACAGGGTTGGTTGCTGAAAAAAACACTCAACATTAACATGCTGTTGTACTGTTGAATGCTGGTTCTCATTTAATAGAGGAATTTCATTTTCTAATCAATAATCTTGTTCAGTTTCTATAAAATCTTAGAGAGCATTTTTAGCTACATTAGATTTTATATACGTCAAACTATCGAAGGCAATCAGCTGACTATTATGATAATTTAAACCTCCTGTTTTTAGTAGTTATCTTTACTACATTGTTTTCAGGGGAAAGGGACTACAGTAGAAAGGTACTTCAATACATAAAAGGATTAGCTAAGAATTGAGACAACAAACAGAGTACATATTTTTCTCAGTATTAACACAGGAAGTTATGCTTGCTGTCAGCCTTCAGCATGTAAGTCTTTTGCTATTGAATTTACATCATTTCTGGGCTGGTCACATAAAAATGCATACAAACAAGCAAATAGAATACATATGCAGAAATGGCAAGCAAACACAGAAATATGAAAAACTACAAAAATTTTCACAACTCTACCCCTTATCTTTCATTTATAAGAGTATTATACAATATTCCATTCATTTTTCACAAACCAAATGAAAACAGAAAATAAACTCAAATCCAAATCCAAACTCGGGCATGTTGGATAACTCTCAAAAGATGGAAGGGGGGTCCTACATATTAGGCTTGTATGGTAGGAAGCAAGTGGGGCGACCAGAATTATTACCAGAGATGACAATGAATACTTGGTTGCTTTTACCTTGATGCTTTGAGAGTGAATTTAATGACAGCTTCAGAATAACGACTCAAAATGGGACCCAATGGGAGTGCATGTGATGTCTGACAGCAGAGTTGTTTAACCTGCTGTATATTCAATACAGTCCATCCATTGTTCATGCTTAGAGGTGGTCCCCAATATGGAGAGAAGAAATCCCAGTCGCCAAACACATTATAACTAATTGAATGCCTGGCAGTGGGATTAACAGGTTACAGCAGGAAAGGAGGAAGGAGGCTTTCATTGTTTCACATTCATTTCCTTTCATCTATCTCACTGGAAAAATCAACCTATCTACTATGTGGCTGTGATAATTAAATCTAGAGAAGAGATTAAAAAAAAACTTTTTTTTTTTTTGCCTTATTTCCTATTCTTATTCTTGGAAAGAATTAATTAATTAATTCGTGGAAAGAATAAGAATATTCCTATTCCTATTCTTGGAAAGACTGGTGGCGTAGTGAATAAGGCACTTGACTGCTACCTGGAAGGGCAGCGGTTCAAACCCACCAGCTGCTCTGTGGAAGGAAGAGGGGCTGATCTACTTCCGTAAAGATTTATAGCCTCGGAAACCCAACGGGGGTTGTTATGAGTTGGAAATGACTTGATGGCAGTGAGTTTGGTTTTTGGTTTGAGTATAGCAGAAAAGTTAGAGAAAATATTCAGAAGACAAATTGCCAGAGGCAATACCCATTAAGTCTGCTACTTACTAGATGTGTGAGCCTGGGAAAATCACTTACCATGCTTCAGTTTCCTCATCTGTCAAACAGGAATAATAGAGTACTAAATTCACAGGAGTGCTGTGAGGATTAAATGAGTACTTAGCAAGTACCTGGCCCATACAAAACACTTAATGCCTGTTTATTGCTGTTGCATGAAACATTGGTGTCTCCACGGTAGAATTCTTGCCTTCCATGTGGGAGACCTGGGTTTGATTCCAGGCCAGGGCGTCTCCTGAGCAGCTATCACTCGCCTGTCAGCAGACGCCTGCATTGTTGCTATGGTGCTGAACAGGCTCCAGACAGAGACGGACTAGGAGGAAAGGCCTGGCGAGCTACTTCTGAAAATCAGTCTGATGAACCTATGGATCGCTGCTGTCCAATCATGGGGATGGTGCACGACTGAGTAGCATTTTGCTTCATTGTACATGGGGTCACCATGAGTCAGGGGCTGACTCTCCAGCAGCTGACAACAAAAGTTACTGTTAGCAAAGAGAGCGCTAATGTAACTCGCCCTGGAAATCAGACAATTAAGTGAAACTCTGGTAAGTGATAGTGGGGGCTGCGATAGAAGTTAACAAAAGGCTGCCACAGTCCACCGCCCAGCTATGCAGAAACAAGGCCTAGGAGAAGCAGCAGGATGGTAATAATGAAGGCCTTCTTTCTGTTCACAGGGGACAGTGCTGCTCTGGTCAGCAATTACAGAGCTTTTAGGAAAGGGCTGGAGCGCCTCTGTTGTTGTTATGTGCCATAGGGTCGGCCCGACTCATAGCGACGCCTCCTTGGGTTTCCGAGGCAGTATCACTACGGAAGTAGATTGCCCAACCTTCCTTCCGAGGAGTGGTTGATGGGTTTGAACCGCCAGCCTTCTGGTTAGCAGTCAGGTGCCTTAGGCATTATGCTACCAGAGCTCCCAGAGAGCCTTTACTTGCAATCATGTAAACCCACTCAAACTCCGTGAATAGTATAAAGAATACTTCTGAAAAGTTTTCATTTATTGTTTTAACAGATAATAAGTCACTTAGTTCAAAATTTGAAAGGTAAAAAAGGTTTCAGCGAAAAGCCTACCCTGCCCCCTCAGCCACACAGTTCCTCTTCCCAAAGGAATGCTGCCAACTTTTCGGGGGTCCTCCCAGAGATACTTTATGTATTATAAGCAAAATGAGTGTGGATTAGTGTACTTAAGAATACTTTATTTGTATAAAGAGCTTCATCAAAATTAATTTGGTTTGAAGTTTCAACACTAGAAACAGATATAGTACTTTACTTCCAAAGGGCTAATTATGCACTTTTGTGTAAAAGGAGAGTGATTTGGAGTAAATAATGAAATCACAGAGCAGGCCAGTTTATATAATTTAAGAAGCCATCTGAGAGAGGAGCACTAATTCATTTGGAGCACACAGGTAAGTTACACCTTGTAAAATAAGTGATTACTGGGTTGTCTAATGACCTACAGAGTTACTGCATTTCTTGCCTTTGCATGCTCTTCCTGAGGAGTAATTTCCTCATCCACAGTATCACTAGGCCACCCTGCTTCTTAGACCTGATCTGGGTCTATCTTTTGAATATGTGTTTCATTGTTTGTCAGGTCACCCAGTAGTGGCCCACTGCGTTTGAGAAGGGATATCCTCACTTAAAGTAAAGCCAATACAAGAAACTCTAAAGTCACTAATGAGTCAACAAAGAAGGCCAGCTTGCTTGACAAAAGTCTTGGTCAGGTGGTTCCTTTAAGCAGAGAGCTTCCTTGAAATATCAGGAATATGACAATACAAACAAATTTGACTAAATTTAGCTTTTCAACAATATATCCACTTGGTAAAGCAAGTTCTTTAATACAAAGGGTCACTAAAATTGAAAATAAAAGTAACAGGTTGGGGAAAACATTTCAATCCAGTTAGTTGGACTTTTATTTTCTAGTACTTCCTCCCTTCTTTTAATGAAAATTCTGAGGAAACTGAGTAAGCAGAGAGGTGATTTTCAGTGGAGAGGGGGAAGAATTCTCTGCTCCTGGAGGTTTCTTTAGAACTGTTTCACTGGCACTAACACGACGGGGCTTTACCTGTGGCAGATGCTTCCCAGCCACAACGATTCCATTGGGTGTGCGCTCCAGGATCTGCCACACACGGTCATAGAACCCAGTGGGAGTTCTGTTCAAAGACCCATCGATCTGACGCCTGTTCAGCCAACATCTGCAGACCAAAGGAAATGCCTCAGAGTTGAAAAACAAGCTTGTTCCAGTAGAAAGCATTGTTTTCAGTATGGATTAATTGTTCCAGTCGGGTTAGCAATAAAAGCCAAATCCATCAATGATGCATATCTAGCATGTGTTACAGAGGTTAGTAAATATTTCATAGTAAAAGCAGAGCTTGCAGGAGAGGAGAAATTCCCCAAGATTTTAAAAAATTTAACAAGCAAAATGTTATCCTCTAGTAAGTTATGAGAATTTTCAGTACATGATCAAATGATTTTCTAATAAGCAAAGCAGCTCCATTAAAAAATATAGAAGCAGCAAATTTTAAAATAAGTTCATGTGGTTCTTACGTATATACAATATAAACTCCATATGGCCTAGAAACCCTATACCTTGGTCACTTTTATACAGCCCTCCTAGAAAGCTTTATGTGAATGAATGAGTGAATAAATGAATGCCCAAATAAAGCATATTTCTATATAATGAAATTGCCTTTAACACTTAAGTTTGCTGTGTAAATATGACTTCAGTCTCAGTGCAGAAAAGCAGCTATAAAATCCCACATGTCCTAACAATCATAATGTAGCAAAAATTCTTATTTTAATGGATTAAGGATTAATCTGAAATATAATACTTGCATAATTTACAAACGACTAAAGATTCAGAATTTGCATAATTTGAAAAGAACAAAACAAATGGCATAGGGCTATAGTCTTTATTATTATTATTATTGTGATTTGGATGAAGATTTACAGAGCAAATTCACTTTCCATACAGCAGTTCACATATACTTTGTCTCATGACATTGACCACAGTTTACCACAATGCAACAGCTCCCCTCCCACTTCCTCCCCATAGTTACCTCTTCCCTGTAGGGCTATAGTCTTAAAAAAGCTGAAGACAGGAGCAAATATACATTTTTCATACTTGATATTAAAAAGGGAAGCAGAGTGAAATGTGTCATCATCCACAAGGGAGAGGTCATGACCCACAATATTTCTGGGCATTTAAATAGCTGTGCAGGGCACAGTAACCAGAAAACGACATTTGTATGCTGGTGAAAGAGAACCAATGACGTTTTATCTTTATAGAAGAGAGAGAGGCATGTTGTTCAGATGTACAGTCTCTTCTAATAGACCTAGACTTGCTTTGTTAGGTTCAGTATTGGGCTAAAGAGAAGCCCAAAAGTCCAGGGAATCCTTGGTGAATGTTTTACTTTGGATAATAGGTGTATGTAAACTCATACCTCACATCCTGCATTTGATTTCTTTTATTATCTCTTTTATTTAGTAACATAAAAGGATGTTTTCAGAGTTCTGTGAAGTCATAGTTAATGGGAGATGTGTGTTTGTTGTTGTTGTGTGCTGTCTAGTGAATTCCAACTTACTGATCTTACGGGACAGAGCAGAACTGCTCCATAGGGTTTTAAAGGCTATAAATCTTTATAGAAGCAGAATGCCACATCTTTCCCCACAGAGTGCCTGGTGAGTGCTAACCAATGACCTTTTGGTTAGCTTAACCACTGCACTTAACCAGGGCTCCTTGAAGTTTGTTAAGGAGCTCTGGTGGTGCAGTCCCTAAGGCATTTGACTACTAACCAGAAGGCTGGTGTTCCAACCCATCAGCCACCCTGCAGAAGGAAGACTGGGCAATCTACTTCCATAAAGATTTACCACCTCAGAAACCCAAAGAGGGTCGCGATGAGTCAGAATTGACTCGATGGCACTGAGTTTGGTTTGGTTTGATGTTTGTTTAGAAGAACATTAAAAGTTGAAATGTGTGAATACTCATCCCGAGGTGGCAAATTATTTTGGAAATCTCTATTTTATTGTTTGGCTTTTTATCTTGTAATTTTTTAGATTTACAAAAATGTCACAAAAATAATTGTGCAAGTTCCTGTATATTCTTCACTTTAGCTTCCTGTGCTCTTGCCATTTTACATAACATAGCACAATTATTGAAGCCCCAAATTAACAGTGATACAATACTATTCATTAATCTGTGAACCTTATAAATTTTGCTAGTTTCACTATTAACATCCTGTGTTTTAGTCTGGGATCAAACCCAGGATCTAACATTGCATTTGCTGTTCATGACTCCTGAGGCTCCTCTGATCTGTGACAGTTCCTCCTCAGTCTTCCTTTTTCTTTCCTGAGTTGGACATTTTTATTTACTTATTTTTTTAAAATTTTTATTGTGATTTGGGTAAAAGTTTACAGAGCAAATTCATTTTCTACACAGCAGTTCACATACACTTCGTCTCATGACATTAACTGTAATTTCCAACACTGTGACAGCTCCCCTCCCACTTACTCCCCATAGTTACCTCTTCCCTGTGTCCTTCCCTCCCATGCACTCCTGCCCCATGAGCTGTCTCCCTGTGCCTACACAGTCTTTCTATTCTCTGAGTTGGACACTTTTAAAATGTCAATATCAGGGGGTACATGCTGTTGATATGTGATAATCCTTGCGATGTTAACCTTGATCACTTGGTTATGTGCAAGTCTGATAGGTTTCTCCATCCATTATAAAGTTACTCTTTTTCCCTTTGCAATCAAAATATACCTTGAGCAGAGTTCTTTGAAATTACATAAATTTTCTATTTCTCATCATACTTTCACCTACTAGTTTTAGCATCAATCGGCAGTTCTTACCTGCAACAATTCCTTGTTTTTTGGGATTTATCTAATGCTGATTCTTTTTCTATCATCCCATCTACATTTATAAATTGGAATTCTACTGTAGGAAAGAGTCTCTTCTCATTTATTTATCCTATTATTTATTTATACCAGCATATACTCATGGATGTTTATTTATTCTATGGATTACAACCCAATAATATCATTAGTAATTTTGTTGCTCATAGTATGCCAACTTTGGCCATTTGTAGTTCCTTCAAGTTGTCTCCAGTGCCCCTTTGACACACCCGATCACATTGTGAGTACTTTCTTACATAAGATCTTTTAGATTCATCTTGTATTTTTCCTTTCCTAAAAGCAACCATTTATCCAAAGAGTACTGGGGTTCCTTTCATTAGAACAGAAATCAGTATCTAAGAGCTAGGTTTGCTCACTGCTCCTCGGGTTTCACTGCTTCCAGAACCTCTCAGCGGACAGAGTTGGACATTTTAAATATGTCTATTCATATATATATATATATATATACACATGCACATTTATTTCTGTATCTACCCATCTGTATAAAACCATTAATTTATACCAATGCCTCCAACTTCCATCCAATACCATAGGGTACATTCTAGCCTTTCCTCTTTCCTTATTGTAACTACCTTCTTCAAAAGTAAGAGAATTCTGGCTCTCATTATCCACAATCTATGTACTTATTTATTCAATCCTAGTGTGTGTGTGTGTCTATTTCAGAATTGCTAGTCCATAGCTCTATGATAAAACAGTAATATTAACTAGACTGTAATATTTGTGTTTGGTTCTTTTTTTCTTTAGCCAGTCAAAGAAATGTTTTCCAAAAGTACTTCTGTTCATCCTTTCCTTCCTTGCCCCCTCCACGATGATTATATTATTTACTTGTAATACAGTTAGGTTCATTTATTACTATTTATATTCTGCTTGGGTTCTGACTACATTTGGATTAATTTTAATTAATAATTATGTTCTGGGTATATGAAAATAATTACCATGGTTTAAGACACAGAGGAGGAGCCCTGGTGGTGCAGCAGCGGGTAAATGCCTAGCTGCTAACAGAAAGGTCAGCAGTTTGAACTCTCCGGCTGCTCTGTGGGAGAAAGATGTAGCAGTTGGCTTAGAAAGAATTATGGTCTTGGAGACCCTATGGGGCAGTTCTACCTTGTCTGTGGAGTTGCTATGAATCAGAATGACTCAATGGCAGTGGGTTTGGTTTCACTTGGTGAGAGTCAGAGATTATACCAAAAAGTATACTTTGGGAAGTACTGCTGTCCCCCTCAACTCTATTACCTTGTACTCATTTCTCCCATTTTTTCCACCCCGTTCCTACATTCCCTGAAGGTAACCAGTCTCATTAGTTTATGATTTAATCTTCTGCTATTTCTTCTGCAAAAACAAGCAGATATACATATGTTTTCTTATATCTCTGCACAGTGCTGCTTTCATTTGACAATACATCCTAGACATTATTTCATAGCAATTCCTAGAGACCACACTCCTTCTTTTTTACAGCTGCATATATATGCCTCAATTTATTCAAACACTCTCCTAGGTACATTTAGATTGGTTCTAATATTTTGCAAATATAAACAATGATGCAATAAATAACCTTGTATTATATATATTATAAGGCGCTCTGGTGGTGTAGTTCCTAAGGGATTTGACTGCTAACCAGAAGTTTGGTGGTTTAAACCCACCAGCCACTCTGTGGAAAGAAGACTGGGCGATCTACTTCTGTAAACATTTAGGGCCTCGGAAGCCCAAAAGGGATTGCTATGAGGTGTAACTGGCTCAATGGCAGTGAGTTTGGTTTTGCTTTACATATATATATATATATATATATATATATATATATATATGGTGATTTTCATATTTGTGATATATGCATATATATGCTTTTGTGATATATCTATGTGTGTGTGTGTGTGTGTGTATAAAAGCTCTGGTAGTGTAGTGCCTAAGGCACCTGACTGCTAACCAGAAGGTTGGCAGTTCAAACCCACCAGCCACTCCTGGGAACAAAGGTTGAGTAGTCTACTTCCATAGAGATACCGCCTTGGAAACCCAAGGAGGGACTGCTATGAGTTGGGTCTGACTCGATGGCACATAACAACAATAACACTACACACACACACACACACACACACATATGGATATATGCATGTATTTGTTGTTGCGTTTAGATGCCTTCAAGTTGGTTTCAACTCATAGCAACACTATTTACAACAGAATGAAATGCTGCCAGTCATGTGCCATGCTCACAGTTCTTGCCATGCTTGGGCCCCTTGCTGGAGCCACTGTGCTAACCCATCTTGTTGAGGATCTTCTCTTCTTTCAC